AGCGCTTAAGGGAAACTGCTATTGTGTGTTCACACTGCCAGCTGCCTGTGCAATAGCATGTTCACATTTGCGGCACTTGCAGCAGTATTTAGAGTGGTGCACTCTGGGCAGCTATCCCACTAAGCATCTCTTCCTCTTCTACGGCTAACAGTTGTGGGAAGGCAGAGGGGGTCACGGGGCATCCTGGGTCCTGTCCCAATGTCCCGTCATGCATTGCTTCGCATCCCAGCAATCCCTGTGCTTCCATCCGCATTTGGCGCCATTTTTCAACTGTTTGTGTACTGCACATTCTGCCTCTTTCAAGCTACAGGAATGGATCCTGCACTGTTGATCAATATGCTGCTCGCTCTCACTAACACGTCATGAGTGGCAGTGGTGTTATTCCTTAAACTACAAAGGCAAGAGGAGTGCAACATTGATCTTGCCATGCGTAGTAGCTATGTCAGGAGATTGCTTGTGGCATTCATGGAGGTGCTGACCACAGTGGAACGCCGCTTTTGGGCTCAGCAAACAAGCACCGAGTGGTGGGATCACATCATCATGCACATCTGGGAGGACAAGCAGGGGCTGCAGAGCTTTCAGATGAGGAAAGCCACATTCATGGGACTGTGTGGCAATTGCACTGTGGAAGCTGGCTACTCCAGATTGCTATCAATCGGTCACTAACCAGTTCAGAGTGGGAAAGTCAACTGTTGGACACGTGTTGATGGAAGTGTGTAGGGCCATTAATTGCATCCTGCTCTGAAAGACACTGACTCTGGGCAACGGGTATGACATTGTGGATTGCTTTGCACAAATGGGCTTCCCTAACTGCGGAGGGGCGATAGATGGCACGCATATTCCAATTCTGGCACCAGACAACCTAGCCATCGAAAACGTCAATCACAAGGGGAGGTTCTCAATGGTTCTCCAGGCGATTGTGGGCGTTTCACAGACATGAAGTCAGGCTGGTCCAGAAAGGTGCATGATGCACATATCTACCTCCTAAGGGGGACAGAGTCATCCATCTGCCGACCAGACAGAGAGACTCGAGAAGTGTGCTGCTTGCCTGGAGCTAGAATTCAGGATGTGACGGAGTGTCTGCCGAGACTGATCAAGCCCTGGGACCGCTAGCCCTTCCTACTTCTCCACATGGGCAGCAATGATACTGCCAAGAATGACCTTGAGTGGGTCACTACAGACTACGTGGCTCTGGGAAGAAGAATAAAGGAGTTTGAGGCGCAAGTCGTGTTCTCGTCCATCCTCCCCGTTGAAGGAAAAGGCCCCGGTAGGAACCGTTGAATTGTGGAGGTGAATGTGTGGTTACGCAGGTGGTGTCAGAGACAGGGCTTTGGATTCCACGACCATGGCATGTTCCGGGAAGAAGGATTGCAAGGAAGAGATGGGATCCAACTAATGAAGAGAGGGAACAGTATCTTCGCAGGCAGGCTTGCTAACCTAGTGAGGAGGGCTTTAAACTAGGTTCACCGGGGGACAGTGACCTAAGCTGTGAGGTAAGTAGGGAAGTGGGATACCAGGAGGAAACACACCCTCCTCCTTGTAACAGGGGGGAGGAGGGGACTCCTGATTCATACTGAGAAAGCAGGGCAATCGGCTAGTTATCTTAGGTGCATGTACACGAACGCAAGAAGCCTGGGAAACAAGCAGGAAGAATTGGAAGTCTTGGTCCAATCAAGGAACTATGATGTGATTGGAATAAAGAGACTTGGTGGGGTAGCTCACATGACTGGAGCATTATCATGGATGGGTATAAACTGTTCAGGAAGGACAGACAGGGGAGGAAAGGTGGAGGAGTTGCACTGTATGTAAGAGAGTGGCATGATTGCTCAGAGCTCCAGTATGAAACTGGAGAAAAGCCTGTTGAGAGTCTTTGGTTTAAGTTTAGAAGCGAGAGCAACAAGGGTGATGTCACGGTGGGCATGTGCTATAGCCCACCAGACCAGGAGGATGAGTTAGACGAGGCTTTCTTCAGACAATTAACTGAAGTCTCCCATTAGAAACTTCAATCATCCTGACATGTGCTGGGAGAGCCATACAGCAGTGCACAGACAATTCAGGCAGTTTTTAGAGTGTGTTGGGGACAACTTCCTGGTGCAACTACTGGAGGAATCAACCAGGGGCCTTTCTCCTCTTGATCTGCTGCTTACAAACAGGGAAGAATTGGTAGGGGAAGTAGAAGTGGGTGGCAACCTGGGCAGCAGTGACCATGAGATGGTTGAGTTCAGGATCCTCACAAAAGGAAGAAAGGAGAGTAGCAAAATACAGACCCTGCACTTTAGAAAAAGCAGACTTTTACTCCCTTAGGGAATTGATGGGCAGGATCCCCTGGGAGGCTAATATGGGGTGGGGAAAGGAGTCCAGGAAAGCTGGCTGTATTTTAAAGAAGCCTTATTAAGGGCACAGGAACAAACCATCCCAATGTGCAGAAAGAATAGCAAATATGGCAGGCAGCCTGCTTGGTTTAGTAGTGAAATCTTCGGTGAGCTTAAACACAAAAAGGAAACTTACAAGAAGTGGAAACTTGGTCAGATGACCAGGGAGGGATATAAAAATATTGCTCGAGCATGCAGGGGTGTAATAAGGAAGGCCAAAACACAACTGGAGTTGCAGTTAGCAGTGGATGTGAAGGGTAATAAAAGAGTTTCTATAGGTATGTTAGCAACAAGGTGGTCAGGGAAAGTGTGGGACCATTAATGAATGGGGGAGGCAACCTAGTGAGAGATGATGAGGAAAAAGCTGAAGTACTCAATGCTTTTTTTACCTCCGTCTTCACAGACAAAGTCAGCTCCCACTCTGCTGCACTGGGCAACACAGTATGCGGAGGAGGTGAGCAGCCCTCAGTGGAGAAAGAACAGGTTAAGGACGATTTAGAAAAGCTGGACATGCACAAGTCCATGGGTCCAGATCTAACGCATCTGAGGGTGCTGAGGGAATTGGCTGATGTGGTTGCAGAGCCATTGACCATTATCTTTGAAAACTGATGGCGATCGAGGGAGGTCCCTGACAAATGGAAAAGGCAAATATAGTGCCCATCTTTAAAAAAGGGGAAGAAGGAGAATCCAGGGAACTACAGCCTCACCTCAGTCCCTGGAAACATCATTGAGCAGGTCCTCAAGGAAACTATTTTGAAACACTTGGAAGAGAGGAAGGTGATCATAGAATCATAGAATATCAGGGTTGGAAGGGACCTCAGGAGATCATCTAGTCCAACCCCCTGCTCAAAGCAGGACCAATCCCAGACAGATTTTTGTCCCAGATCCCTAAATGACCCCCTCAAAGGATTGAACTCGCAACCCTGGGTTTAGAAGGCCAATGCTCAAAACACTGAGCTATCCCTCCCCGCTCAGGAACAGTCAACATGAATTCACCAAGGGCAAGTCATGCCTGACCAACCTGATTGCCTTCTATGATGAGATAATTGGCTCTGGGGATATGGGGAAAGTGGTGGATATGATATATCTTGACGGTATCAAAAACGTTGCTAAAGTCTCCCACAGTATTCTTGCCAGCAAGTTAAAAAGTATGGATTGGATTAATGGACTATAAGGTGGATAGAAAGATGGCTAGATTGTCGGGCTCAATGGGTAGTGATCAATGGCTCGATGTTTAGTTGGCAGCTGGTATCAAGTGTAGTGCCCCAGGGGTCGGTTTTGTTCAACATCTTCATTAATGATCTGGATGATGGGATTAATTGCATCCTCAGCAAGTTCACAGAGGACACTAAACTGGGGCGGGGGGAGGGGTAGACAAATTGGAGGATTGAGCCAAAAGAAGTCTGATGAAGTTCAACAAGGACAAGTGTAGAGTCCTGCACTTAGGATGGAAGAATCCCATGAACTGCTACAGGCTGGGGACGGACTGGCTAAGCAGCAGTTCTGCAGAAAAGGACCTGGGGATTACAGTGGATCAGAAGCTGGATATGAGTCAGAAGTGTGCCCTTGTTGGCAAGAAGGCTAACGGCATATTGGGATGCATTAGTAGGAGCACTGCCAGCAGATTGAGGGACATGATCATTCCCCTCTATTCGGCACTGGTGAAGCCACATCTGGAGTATTGTGTCCAGTTTTGGGGCCCCACTACACAAAGGATGTGGACAAATTGGAGAGAGTCCAGCGGAGGGCAACGAAAATGATCAGGGGGCTGGGGCACATGACTTACGAGGAGAGGTTGAGGGAAGTAGGCTTATTTAGTCTGCAGAAGAGTAGAGTGAGGGGGGATTCGATAGCAGCCTTCAATTACCTGAAGGGGGGTTCCAAACAGGATGGTGCTTGGCTGTTCTCAGTGGTGGCAGATGACAGAACAAGGAGCAATGGTCTCAAGTTGCAGAGTGGGAGATCTAGGTTAGATATTAGCAAATACTATTTCACTAGGAAGGTGGTGAAGCACTGGAATGGGTTACCTAGGGAGGTGGTGGAATCTCCATCCTTAGAGGTTTTTAAGGCACGGCTTCACAAAGCCCTGGCTGGAATGATTTATTTGGTGTTGGTCCTGCTTTAAGCAGGGGGTTGGACTAGATGACCTCTTGAGGACTCTTCCAACCCTAATCTTCTATGATTCTATGATTCTCTCTATGCTTCATGAAACTTTGGATCAAAATGGTAAAAGACAGTTGTTCCCATTTTAATCATGGCATCCTTTAAGAGTGTGATCAATGCCATTTAACTTGGGAGCAGCGTTCTGAAAATAGTTTACCTGGGCCACAGGTCACCATAGCTTCTATCTCTGGGGTGAAAAATCAACCACTAGTACCTGCAATTTCTACCTGAGTTCTTGTCAAATCTTTGACCTTACTTGGAGTAATTTTACACTTCTCTGGCGTAGAATACTTCACCAACCATACAACATATCAGTAGCAATAGTGAGGTATAACTCCCCCAAATATGCCCTTTTATTTTTTTAATTTGGTGGGACAGATTTAAATTAGGGACTAAATTCAGGTGTGTCTTAGAATCCCTGTAAGATACCAAATATCAGGTATCTATTAAAAATAGATATATTTCTGCAGCTATATCACATTCAACACGGATTTCATTTTCTACATATTTGCAGCATCTCCCAGGGGTGAGCTGAAGAGAAATGTCACTTCCATTTTTCCCATCTCTACCTAGATAGGGATTGCATTTCCCAAATAATAGGCAACATGCACCTGATTAGGAAGGAGATATCTTCAGGAGCGACCCCCTGCAGGGCCTGGGCCACAACTGCTTTGGGAGCCCAATGCATGGGTATTTTGCTTAGTTCCAAGTCATTTACTAGGGAATACTCTTCCCAGGCCTTTAGAAAAAAATATTGACCTAACCAATTGAACAACAGGGGGATTGGGATGGTGATGGGGAATAAACGAATCCCTCTGACTTACCCTATCTTCTTCTGTTGTTACAGAGCGTCAAATGACATTTTTCCTTATCCCTGCCCTGTTCCTGCTCTTTGTTATAGTTCAATATATTTTAAATGAGGAAAATGGTAGTTTTCCAGCACAACCTGAAGCAACATCAGAGCAACTGGGAATGAAAAAATTTGTTCCTGAAGGGGGAACTTGATGACTAACAATTGCTTTGAAATGGGGGAACAGTATAACCGTGATGCTCAGGGTTTGTTTAGGTCAGGTCAAGGGGAAAGCTAATGCCAACCACTGCACCTGGGATGCATCTGCTCTACAACTAGAATTGTCTTTTTACACCAAGATCACTAACTTGAGCAGCCAACACCATGTACAGTCCTAGTGGATGTAAGGCACAGATAGTTTTTGCCTCAGTGTAGCTTTTTGGGATCAAACCTCTCCCCCCCACCTGGAGCTGATCAACATTCCTGGCTGGAGGGACACACACTCCTACAACTCAAAAGGAAAGGAGTGGATAGAAAAGATCACAGGACTGACCCCAAAGAACGGGGAGCTGCAAAAGGCAGAAGCAGGCAACTCATCTGGGGGAGCTGAGAGACCACGTGAAGATAGTGATATTTTCACCATATGGGAATTAGCAAAAGTGATGTTTTTTAAAAATCAAATCTTTGGCCAGCCCTAATCTAGGCATTTATTACAGTTCTCTCTCATGTGGATTTTCTGATGTTTAATAAGGGTTGAGCTTTGATTGAAGTTTTTCCCACACTCAGAGCATCCATAAGGTTTCTCACCGGTGTGGATTCTCTGATGCGTGGTAAGGGCTGAGCTATCACTGAAGTGTTTCCCGCACTCAGAACACGTGTAGGGTTTCTCTCCTGTGTGGATTCTACGATGTATGATAAGGTGTGAGTGCTGACTAAAGCTTTTCCCGCACTCAGAGCACGTGTAGGGCGTCTCTCCTGTGTGGATTCTCTGATGTCTAATAAGGGTTGAGCTCAGATTGAAGCGTTTCCCACACTCAGGGCACCCATAAGGTTTCTCTCCTGTGTGGATTCTACGATGTGTGATCAGGGCTGAGCTATCATTGAAGCTTTTCCCACACTCAGAGCACATGTAGGGCGTCTCTCCTGTGTGGATTCGCTGATGTCTGATAAGGTTTGAGCTTTGATTGAAGCTTTTCCCGCACTCAGAGCATGTGTAGGGCGTCTCGCCTGTGTGGATTCTCTGATGTGTGATAAGGGCAGAGCTCTGATTGAAGCTTTTCCCACACTCAGAGCATGCGTAGAGCGTCTCTCCTGTGTGGATTCTCCTATGTCTGATGAGGTGTGAGCTCCGATTGAAGCGTTTCCCGCACTCAGAGCATCCATAAGGTTTCTCACCTGTGTGGATTCTCCTATGTCGGATAACATGTGAGCTCCAATTGAAGCATTTCCCACACTCAGAGCATCCATAAGGTTTCTCACCCGTGTGGACTCTCCAATGTGTGATAAGGGAAGAACTCCGATTGAAGCTTTTCCCGCACTCAGAGCACATGAAAGGTCTCTCTCCACTGTGGATTTTCTGATGTGTGAGAAGGTCAGAGATCCCATTGAAGCTTTTCCCACACTCATGGCATGTGTAGCGCGTCTCTTCCAAGTTGATTTGGTCACGTGTTAAAAGGTCCGAGTGGCTACTGAAGTTTTCCTCTGGCCTGTGCTGAGTCTCACAGGCTTTTGCTTTTTCTGGGAGTGCACAATTCCCGGAAACATTCCCTTTGGATCTTCCTGGTAACATTCCATGTGGTTCTACTTGCTCAGCATCTTCCTGCTGGGGTTTCTCCTCCTCGTTCTCACTCACCATCCCATCACCTGATGGGAGACAGAGAATCCAGATATAGGTCACTCCCTGCACCGGAGAGAACGGAAATCTCAGAGAGAGGAATGGAAAAAGGGATGAATAAGCCAAAATATGTGTGGGAGAGATCAAACCTATCAAGAGCTGCTTTTCCCCAAACCCTTCCCCAAAGGAGAGAGGAAGGGATCAGTTTTGGGTCCACATCCTCACCACCACACTCAGGTGAAAGCGAGATCGGGGAGGGACCTGCTGCCAGTTGTCAGTCAGGATAGGTGCGAAGCCAGGAGTGACATCTGCCTAATGATTCCATTCTGCTGGGAGGAATCCTGAACTTGGAGAGATCACAGGGTCTTTGTAGGGCATCCCAAATGTTTCCTGTATTCACAAACAGTTTTTGCATTGGTTTAACCAATTCCTCACCTGTGCAGGCAGCTCTCGGGAGCACTTCTTTCTCAGAGCCCTGGAGGTCTGCGACCCACCGCTCTTCCCCTCGTTCCAGCTGTGAGATCACATCAGGTTTGGAAATTGGAAACCCTACTCCAGGCAAAGAAAACAAGGGAGGTCAGTGGAATTTGTGGAATACTTGTCACAAAGAATATTCCATAGTTTTAACTCCAGATCAATTTTAAGCAGTAACATCCCAAGGCCATCTTCCTTGACTCAAAGTGGCAGGAGAATTGTTATTATTGTAAATGATATTCATTACCTTAGTTTCTATGGGCCAACTAACAGTGGGTCCGCATTATGCTAGGCAAAGTACAAACAGAGAATAGTAGATGGCCCATGCCCTGAAGAATTTACAATCTAAATAGACAAGACAGAGACAGAATGGGGGAAGGGGTAGAACCCACTGTTAGAATAGAGATATTCAGGCCTGCCTGTAAAGCCTATACTTTAACAACTTAGGTGTATTTTTATCATCACTTAGCTAGTTACAGAGGTATAAAAACAAAGAATCAAAATCACAGTCCGCCTGTGTATGGGCCTTTGCTCACTAGGATAGTCTGAGGCCTTGTTCTTTGACTAAGCAGCAGGGACAGCCATAAGCTGGGAAGCGAACGGTCACATCCTCACATCCCAAACCAGTCACACTGAAATAAGGTGGTATTGGGCTGTTAGGAAGATGATCCTGTCCCGATAGTGCCCAACACCAGCAGATAAAGAAACAGATCTTAAGAGGGTTAAAGAAAACTTAGTTTGATAGCATCCTGTCTGGCAAGAAATCACTTAATTATCAATGGTTGTGGTTGGGAAACCCTCATTTCTGTATGTTTTATCTTTATGGCCACCACTTTTCTATTGTTAATGTGTCTGGTTCGCTAATTGTTTCTGTCTGCTGTATAATTAATTTTGCTAGGTGCAAGTTAATTAGGGTAGTGGGATATAATTGGTTAGAGAATTATGTTACAATATGTTAGGATTGGTTAAGATAAATTTCAGTAAAATGATTGGTTAAGGTATAGTTGAGAATAATACTATATAAACTGGGGTTAAACAGGAGGGGGAAGGGAAAGGACAGTTACCTGTTTCGTAACTGGCGTTCTTCGAGATGTATTGCTCAGGTGTATTCCACTGTAGGTGTGCGTGCTCGCCACGTGCACCGGTGTTGGAAGGTTTTCCCTTAGCAGTATCCATACGGGGAAGCACCGCTGCGACCCCTAGAGTGGCGCCTCTATACCGCCCTATAAGGGGAGCTGCGCACTCCCCCCACCCTCGGTTCCTTCTTACCGGACAACTCCGACAGAGGGGAAGGAAGGCGGGATGTGGAATACACCTGAGCAACACATCTCGAAGAATGCTAGTTACGGAACAGGTAACTGTCCTTTCTTCTTCGAGTGATTGCTCATGTGTATTCCACAGTAGGGGACTCCAAGCTATATCTGATGGAGGCGGGTAGGAGTTTAAGGGTTTCTGGGACGCAGTACCGCCCTACCAAATCCGGCGTCATCCCTCGCTTGGGAGACAATTGCATAACGTGAAGAAAATGTGTGGACAGAGGACCATGTGGCAGCCCTACAGATGTCCCGGATTGGGACATGGGCTACATAGGCAGCCGACGAGACCTGAGCTCTCGTTGAGTGCACCCTGATGATTGGTGGCGGGGAAACCCTTGCCAGGTTATAGTACGTGCATATGAATGAGGTGATCCAGGCACTGGGTGGAAATTGGTTGCCCCCTCATACGCTCGGCAGATGCAACGAACAGCTGCGAGGATTTCCGGAACAGCTTGGTCTGGTCCAGGTAGAAGGCCAGTGCCCTACGCACATCGAGCATGTGAAGGCGACGTTCCTCATTGGAGGAATGGGGCTTAGGACAGAGCACCGGGAGGAAAATGTCCTGTTCCATATGGAAGGTGGAGACCACCTTCGGGAGGAATGCAGGGTGTGTGCGAAGCTGGACCTTATCCTTGTGGAAGACTGTATATGGGGGTTCCGAGGTCAAGGCCCTGAGCTCCGAGACACATTGGGGTGACGTGATAGCTACAAGGAATGCTACCTTCCATGACAGGTGAGACCAGGAACACGTGGCCAAGGGTTCAAAGGGAGATCCCGTGAGACGGGATAACACTAGGTTTAGGTCCCATTGTGGAACGGGGGACCTAGCATACGGGAATGAACGGTCCAGGCCTCTTAGAAAGCGGGAGATCATAGTGTGAGAAAAAGACCGATTGGCCCTGCACTGGCGGGTGGAAGGCCGATATGGCTGCCAAATGTATCCTGACAGAGGCGGGAGCTAGCCCTTGGGTCCTAAGGGACAGGAGGTAATCAAGGATAATCTGGAGCGGTGCGGACGATGGGGAGGTTCCCCACTCTGCCACCCACCTAGAGAATCTGGACCACTTTGCCAGGTACATCCGTCATGTGGACAGCTTTCTACTTTCCAGCAGGACTCGTTTGACGTCCTCTGAACACCTCCCCTCCTCCTCATCTAACCACTGAGCAACCACACTGTCAGGTGGAGCGCAGCTAGGTTGGGATGGAGGAGACGGCCCCCTTCCTGGGAGAGGAGGTCCAGGCGAAGCGGTAGCCTCCGCAGGGGAGCCGCTAAGAGGTGCATGAGGGTCCCGTACCAGTGTCGTCGGGCCCAGTCCGGGGCTATGAAGATAACCCGCGTCCTGTCCGTTTTTACTTTTTGCAGGACCTTGCCGATCAGGGGGAAGGCATAGAAAAGCTGGCCTGACCACTGCATGAGGAAGGCGTCCAAGATTGCCCCCTTCCCCACTCCTCCACTGGAGCAGAACTGGAGACAGCGCCGGTTCTGGTCGGTTGCAAAGAGGTCGACCCGGGGATCTCCCCACTCTCGGAAGAGCTGGTGGGTGACCTCCGAATGGAGAGACCACTCATACTGGCAGGAGAAAACCCTCTGAGGCGATCGGCTCGCACATTGCGGATGCCGAGTAGGTGGAAGGCTCGCAGGGAGATATCGTGGGCTATACAGAATTCCCATAGGCTCAGGGCTTCCAGGCATAGGGCCGAGGAATGAGTCCCGCCTTGCCTGTTGATGTAATACATCGCAGCGGTGTTGTCCATAAGGACTCTGACTACCTTCCTGTGAAGGTGCATGCTGAAAGCTACACACGCCAACCGTATTGCCCTGAGCTCTCTGGCATTTATGTGGAGGGACAAGTCTGAGGCAGACCATCTCCCTTGGGTTTGAATGTTCCCTATATGAGCTCCCCATCCCAGATCCAAGGCATCTGACACAGGTCTAATGATGGGGAGGGTTCCCAGAAAGGGACCCCTTGCAGCATGTTGCTCGGGAGGGACCACCATTGTAGGGAGGCAACTACATGATAACCTTCTCCAGCCCGTCCCGGGCCTGGGAGTACTGAGAGGCTAGCCAGAGCTGGAGGGGCCTCATTCTGAGCCTGGCATGGCGGACCACGTACATGCATGCTGCCATGTGCCCGAGCATCTGAAGCCACGCACTTGCCATTGTCACAGGGAAGGCCGTGACCGAGGCAATGAGGCCTTTGAGGGTCTCGAACCTGCCCGGAAAGAGAGGCTGTGGCCCTTAAGGAGTCCAGCATCGCTCCTATGAATTCTATGAGCTGAACTGGGACTAACGTGGATTTGTTCTCGTTCACTACTAGGCCGAGATCTGCACATGTGGACAGGAGCAGTTCCACATGGGTCTGCATCTGGGACCGAGAGCTGCCCTTGAGAAGCCAATCGCCAGGTATGGGAAGATCTGCACCCCTTTCCGCCGGAGGTAGGCCGCTACCACTGCCATGCACTTGGTGAAAACCCTGGGTGCCGTGGATAGACCAAAAGGGAGGACCGTGAACTGGTAGTGATCCCGCCCCACCAGGAACCAGAGGAAGTGCCTGTGCCCTTCAAATATATGGATATGGAAATACATGTCCTGAAGGTCCAGAGCTGTGTACCAATCCCCCAGGTCCAGGGAGGGAATAATAGAGGCCAGGGACACCATGCGGAACTTGGAGCTGACCATAAACCGGTTGAGATCCCGTAGGTCCAGGATGGGCCTGAGCCCCCCTTTTGCCTTTGGGATCAGGAAGTACCGGGAGTAGAAGCCTCTGCCCTGGGAGTCAACTGGTACTCTTTCCACCGCTCCCAGGTGGAGCGGACGTGCCACCTCCTGCCCTAGGAGGCGAGCATGCTCTGGGTCCCCAGGACTCACCAGGGAAGGGGGGTGGTAAGGTGGGGGCGAAGTGAACTGCAACATGTAGCCCTTGGAAATGGTGTTGAGGACCCATTGGTCTGACGTCATACGGGACCACTCCACTCGGAAGGCAGACAATCGGTTGCAGAACACAAACTTTATTAATCAGGGGGGTTCCTTGGCAACAGGCCTGGTGCCCCCCTGCAAATAGTCAAAACCGCCTCTTTCCCTGCCTCTTGCCCTTAGAGGGCCCGGGCTGCAGGGCAGAGCAGGACTGACGTTGAGACTGACGCCTCTGGTCTCTCGACCTCTTGGATGTGGGCTCGTATCTGCTCCATGCAGGTGGAGTCAAAGTTTGCTGCCTGGGCTCGTCCTTAGCCGGCTGGACGTAGAGGCCCAAGGTTTGCAGGGTGGTACGGGAATCCTTCATCCCGTGCAGATGGACATCCGTTTGGTCTGCAAATGGCGCTTTCCCATCAAAGGGCAGGTCCTGCACGAGGGACTGGGCCTCCGCCGACAGCCCGGATAGGAGGAGGCATGATGCCCTGCGCATGGAAATGGCGGTAGCCATCGAGCGGGCTGCCATATCGGCCGCGTCCGATGCCTCCTGGAGGGTTGCTTTTGCCGCTGCCGCCCCTTCCTCTACCAGAGCCTTGAAGTCCTTTTTGTCCCACTCTGGGAGGAGAGGTTCAAATTTTGGTAGGGACCCCCTTAAGTTAAATTCATACCGTCTCAGTAGGGCCTGATGATTGACCACTCTGAGCGGGAAACTTGCTGAAGAATAAACTTTGGGGGTAGGCGCGGGCTGGCCATGTCGTTCTCGGTGGTTTACCGATTCCACCACCAGAGAGTTAGGTGCCGGGTGGGAATAATGGTACTCATGGTCCTTAGCCGGCACAAAGTA